GGGTTGGTAAGACTTTACTTTCTTCATGTGCCAATTGCATTTACTGTGGTTTGTTATCCAAGGAAATATATGGTGTATGGGATGGGATTGGTGTTTTCAGATTGCCAACCTAGCTTTAGATGAGCTTGTGCTAGATTCTTGATATTATTATTATTATTATGGAACAAATACACATTTAAATAATTCATACTTTATACTCCATAGTATTTAATTGTAGATATAAAACTTCCTTTTTTTTAATATTTGCATTTCGCGGTGTTTCTCATGTCATGTGACTGATTTTTGGCTCTTATTCTATGCTGTATATGGCAAATTAAGATGCCATTTTTTTGCTTCAATCTAAAAGACCTTTTGATCTAGTTAAAAGATAAGGAAGAATATTGGCAACATTATGATATAATCCGGAAAAACTTGCATTTTCAATTGCAAAGATGGAACACAGGTGTACGAATGTGTATTGTGGCTACAGTTTTTTGGAAAACTGGAGATCCAAACTCTAGATTTGGGTTTTTTTTTTAGGACGAGACCCCATAACTCACTGAACTCATTGAATTTCTTGCATGTATTATTCCTCGGTTAAACAATATTAGTATACTACTAGTATTGTTTATGAAGTACAATACAATACTAGTAGTATACTACTAAATAATTGTAGTATACAATATTAGTATACTACTAGTATTGTTTATGAAGTACAATACAATACTAGTAGTATACTACTAAATAAACAAGTCCTAAACTTATACAACTAAAATCACCAAAAAATTAGCTATGATAATCTGCCAAAGCATAGAGTTTAATTCCAAATTACTCATGCCCCATGATTCTTTTGGCACCGGTTTTGGGTATCATGTTATGACACCGGGGCATTACGGTGCTCAATAGGCCCCCAAAGTGGTTCCTACCCCCATGTTGCTCCTCAACCCCCTAACATTTTGGTGTTTCCATGGGGGCTGGGGGGGTATCAAGGAGGTTTCTGTGTTGGGTAGGAACTCAGTGGTTCCAACGGAACACTGTAGGGCCCTCAAATGACTGGTCATAATATGACACCCAAGGTGGGTTTCAAAAGAACCTAGCCCATCTTATACTACTCCTAAGTACGCACAACCTTCATTGTTTCTTGATGTTCTGTCCATAGTGGTTTGCAGCCACAACACATAACGTCACAAGCCTTATTATAATCTTTGCCTGCATTTCTCCAAAGTAATTAATGAAAGAGAAGTTAAAATAAAGATGAGTCTTTCTGCATTATATGCCATCCTTGATGCTTTTTAAGTAGGCAGCCCATAGTATTTACTGAATAACAAGCTTCCTTCATTCTGTTTTTTAAAGGTTTATTGCAGAGCACAATTTTAGAAAGTGTAGGTTGTATTTGGTTCAATCGTTCAGAGGCCAAAGATCGTGAAATTGTTGCGAAGAAGTATGTGATAAGATCCTGACATTGAGTACCTTATTTCTTCAATATATGTATATGATATACAACATTGTTAATTTGTTGTTGATTGTTTTCCCCACATTTTTTCAGGCTAAGGGAACATGTTGAAGGGGCCGATAATAACCCTCTTCTTATATTCCCGGAAGGAACTTGTGTGAATAACCACTACAGTGTCATGTTCAAAAAAGTATTGTTTTTTTCCATTGACATTTATGATCTCTCAATTACTTTGTTCCTTTAGTCGCAACACTGATTTTGTACTGTTCATGATACCCTTTGACAGTATTTATATATTTATGTATAAAAAAGTTTTTTGTTGCAACCAAAAAAAGAATGAAGGTTAGCGTGTACTTTTTACTAATCTTTTGATGGTAAATAGGGTGCATTTGAGCTCGGATGCACAGTTTGCCCGGTTGCAATCAAGTACAACAAAATTTTTGTTGATGCTTTCTGGAATAGTAAAAAGTAAGCTTTCTATGCTGTGGTTTCCCAATGCCTTCCTCTTGTTATGGATTCCCTTGCATGCTATTATCTTCTACCATGAGGAAGCTCATGCTTGCTTTTAAATTTTGATATTGTTCACAGGCAGTCTTTCACAACGCACCTGCTGCAACTCATGACATCATGGGCTGTTGTTTGTGACGTTTGGTACTTGGAACCCCAAAACTTAAAGCCGGGTGAGACACCAATTGAGTTTGCAGAGAGGTAAATAATGATCTCTAATTTGTATTGAATTTCCCAGCAGTAGTTGAATTTTAGTGAATGGCCTTGAATTATTTGAGAACGTGATTCTTCTTTTTAGGGTGAGGGATATAATTTCTGTTAGAGCAGGCATAAAGAAGGTTCCTTGGGATGGATATTTGAAATATTCTCGCCCCAATCCAAAGCACCGCGAGAGGAAGTAAGTCTTTCAATGCTTTACAGATATCTTTCAGTTTGTTTTGAGTCTTATTCTTCATGAATTCTTCTTTCCCAGTCATTCAAACTTGAGCATAAATATTTAATTATTATTGACTCTGGGCAGACAGGAAGAGAAGTAGAAGTGTGAAGTCTTTCTTCCTTGTTTGGTTACTACAATGAGGGATGAGAAATGAACTTGCAATTTCAAAGGTTTTTTCTCGTATTCTATTTTGCAGGCAACAGTGTTTTGCGGATTCAATACTCTGCCGATTAGAAGAGAAGTAGAGAGGGTGTTTGCGATTGATTTCGAAAACGGTTCTCAACTTTTGTCCTTGGAGAAAGGCAATTTGGGAGTGTGATGATTTTCAACTTTTTTGCAGACAGCGGAACAGAACAAAAAGTCGAGAAGCAGCTCCGAGATGTTTTTAGATTCTGTTATCCAAATAAAATCACTTTTCAAAAAAAAAAACACACACACACACACACAAAACATACCCAAACACCCTTCTCCTATATTTTGTGAAAAACAACATGAGGGGTAATAAATTTCCTTGTTTGGTTGGTAGGATTGGAGTGGTTTTGAGGGCACAAATTTTGTTGTTTGGTTAACCATGGAATTGAATTGATGAGGGTATACTAAACTGCATATCATTATGTCCCTTTATTCTTCATCCATTGGTCTAATATTTTTTTTGCAATATTAATTTTTTTAATGTGGATGTGTCTGTTTTTTTCTGGTCTATTGAGGCCCCATTTGGTTCATATTTGGGTAAGAGCTTTGGTTATCAACTTAAGTGAGAATAACAATAGGGCTATATTTTGATGGTGGTTGTGGAGGGTGGGTGAACCAATTGGAGAACAAAGAAAAAAATTGAAGAAGAATTAAGATAACTATTCCTCCTACTAGAAAGTTCACAATTTTGTTGCTGTTTCAATTAAAATTAGAAAGTTTATACTTTTCTTATTTTCTTTTCTGCCACACCCAATTGCTGGTGTATATTGTTATGTCATGTTTATTTGCTATTACTCAATATGTCCCTTTTTTAACTTCTCATTCTCTTTTTTTGGATTAATCTAATTTTTCCTTTCATTCTTTTTTAAAGAACAAAGAGAGCATTATAAGTTTTGGTTCAACAATATACTAAAATAATTAAAAAAACATGGCAGAAACATACAAACTTAGGGCATTACTAGTAAAAAAACGATGTAGTAATTCTCGTGCATTTAAACAAGATACATGTTCCAAATCTAGAATCGCAAATGGAATCACCATATCCAAGCAAGTGAAATGACAAAAAATAATACTCTCTCTGTGCTTGTACTAAGAATTAAATAGTTACTGTGTTTTTACAATGAGTAATGCTAGGGGTACACCAAAAGGTGTACCCCAAATGTACACCACACTCTTTTCATCCACACATTTTTATTTGCTTATTTTTTTTTGAATTTTAGTGGACAAGGAGGGGTAGGGGATATTTGGGGTACACCTTTGGTATACTCCTAGCATTTTTCTTTTACAATTTGTGGCATACACATATTTTGTAGGATTCTTATGAATTAAAGACCTGTCAAACAATAGTTAAAATATTTTTATTATTACTCTTTTCATTATGTTAGTGTGTATAATTAACTCACTCTGTCTCATAGAATATTACTCATTTAAATATATTTTTGTTGAAATAGTTGCATGCTTTGCACATAAATTAAATATAATCTAAATAAGAAATTTATAAAAATTTGATATATCAAAACTAATTAAATCTTAAGATGTATCCAATTATATTAAATTTATATTATAATGAATATAATTTTCTCATAATTTGTAGTCAAGGTGTGTAATTTTTTGACCAAATACTATTCAAAGTGGGTAATGTTTTCTCGCACAGAGGGAGTATATAATATAATTTTGATTCATTTATAGGTCAAAGAGTAATTTTGATTTATTCAAATAGTTAAAATTCGATAAACATTTTCAATCGAAAAGAGTAATAATATTATTTTTATATTTATCTCTCATTTGAGCGGGCACTCGTGGAGTCATTGTCCGTTCACAAAATTGATGGCTATAACACATTGGTTTTTCCAAATTGTAGCCAACTGGCGATCCAAGGGAGCTGGGGTTAAGTTAAGATTTAGGGAATACGAACAACAAATTTTTTGAATGGAACAATGTAACTGTCCAGTGACACCGAATTTCAATGTCACTCGAGTCCTAAATTAAATTTTTATTTAGTTGATTATTAAAAGTTGTCCAAATAGTGAGTACTGTTTGGAAGTTTTCTGTCATTCTGTAAGTCTTTACCCAAATTGACATCTTAAATTTTCTGTTAAATTTAGTTGAATAAAGAAAAACATATTTAAGTCATTTTTATGTAGATATTTGTTTATACATATTTAAATGTGATCCCATATAGTACCCTCTTGTCATAGTACCCTCTTGAGTGCCAAAATTAGAATCTTAATAACTATAGAAAAGATCACATTTTTAAATATTTTCTTTTAGTTCCAAGCAGATCATAGTATACACTATATTTGTTTGACAGTTAAAGCCTCATGGAGAGTTAAAGGTAGACATTTCTTGGGGCTCAATGGGTCTTGCTTATGTTGTCACGATGCACCGGTTGAGTTTCAGAAAAGAAAAATAAACAAAAAGAGATCAAACAAGATTCAATTAGATTCTTCATTTCACAACTCCTTAATGCACAAAGGGAAAAAAACTTGGAACAATGATCCATTTGAACGTTTTTGTCAACAAACCCGGCAAAATCTCACACAAAGTAAGGTCTGGGGAGGAGAGAGTGAGTATGTGTAGATCTTACCATACTTAGAAATGAAGATACTATTTCTCAAAGATCCCCAGCTCAACAGCGTTTGGAATGTTCTTCGTTGAAGAAAATATTAGAGATAACGATCAATCGCGTGCAAGAAGAATGTATTTCCTCTATATGTGAGTGATCTACTATGGGTGCCAATGCACCATAGATGGCCTTGGAGTACAAGATCTCCTTTCATTCCTGCTGTTTCCCAAATGAACTTAAACAACCCCATGGCCCTATCCAGCTGCTTCACCCCTCTCCATACCATCTCCTCTTCATGTGATGTCAATATCTTTCCCATGCACAACCGAAACCTATCCCCGCGACCAATGGCACAAACCCCGCCGCGAACTTCCACTTCAATATCTCTGATGCTGCCGTAGAGATAGTACGTGAGAAGTGTAAATAAACACGGAGATGAGTGGCCCAATCTCTTGGTTAATATCTTCTTCACCAGGCTTTCTTGATGGCAATTGTCCCTGTACCCAATGTTTTTGTCTATCCGAATTTCCCTTATCTGATACAGACCTTCTTTCATGACCTCTGCCTTCTTGACCTCTAGAGACAACTCCTTCACTTCTCTCAAGCAGTCCACAAGATCGATGACCATTTCAAGAATGTCCTCCCATTTGTGAGGAGTAGTAGGTGGTGAAACTTCACCTTTTGCTGGTGCAACTCGCATCCACGAACTGGAATCCGGGTTGTAAGAAACTGCAATGTCCAAAACCTTGAGACAGCCCGCGACTATTTGCTTTCCCATTTTTACTTCTCTACTTGGGAACCTAGATTCCAAATGCTCTATCTCGGATTTCAGTTCACCCAGTATCAGTTCAAGCGCACCCGTCCAAACCTGATGTTCGGTTACCTGTGGGCAGACCGTTGCCCTGACTACCTTCCTCTGTTGAGCAGTAACATTCAAGAAACCGGAAACCTTTGTAAGGGAATTCACAGTCATCGGTTCCCTCTCGCTGGCTTTGTTAAAGCAAGGAAGACGGTTGCCTCCAGGATTGCTGCTCCTGAAATCCATCTTCACCATATTCTTCCTCATGGATTCTTGAACTAAAGGACCTCCAATGAAGTCTCTAGCTAGGGACTTGAAATGGATCATGGTTTCGAGCAAAATGTCATCTTGAACACTCGAGTTGTGTGTGACATTGACAAGCCTTCCATTAACCAAATCCACATTCTTCAGTGAGTTGGACAAACTTGATAGCTTGGAGAAGGCTTGGTCATACCATTCAGAAGTAAGAGATTCTTCCTTAGATTCCTCAGAGCAGTGGCTCGAACCCGAATTCAATCTCACAAAGCCTTTGTGCCTGACTGATAAAACCGGCAATCCCAAGTGCCTAATTCTCACGCCTTTCAAAGCCATAGAAGACCTTAACGTCAGCCCAATCTCTATCTATACAATGGTGTGAGAAGGATTTCTATAGTGTTCCCGCTAATGATAATGGGCCGGTTCAGTGATATTGGGTTGCTGTCCATGGGCCAAAAAGTACTCAATTTCATTTGCAAAATTTCTTGAATAATGTAAGTACATTTCTAGGGAAGAGGTTGCATGCTTTACGCTCCGAAAATGATTATTTTCATTGGTAACTTAAATTCACTTTTTCAACATGTCAAAACATGAGGTGATGTCAAATCAAATTTTGGTACATTGCTCAAGAGAAGATTTGGTGCGTTGCTCAAGGGATATGTATGGACTCCCTTTTGAATAAAGTAAAAGTTGGTGCGTTACTCAAGGAAAACTTTATGTCAAATCAAATTAAATAAATAGATTTACGAAATCCAAGCATTTAATTAATATGTTCATAGATCCATTGTCCAATTATTATATAAGTAGGCACTTCCTCACAATCTCATCCCAAAAGCTTCCTCCTCCTTTCGAAATATGTCTTAAAAACATTCAAAAAGTTAGTGGAATGTTATTGTAGAGAGTGATAATAGTTGCACCACATGGATGCTTATGTTAAGAGCAATTCATGTTTACTTTGCTCTGCCTTGGACAAAAGGAAAAGAGTAGATGGAAGTCATTATTTACGATGAACATGTATAGTATTCACAATTTTTTACATTTACGGAGTATATCTAAATGTAAAAGCATGTATATATAAGCACACGAACAAAAATACTCCGTATATGGCTTTTGATATTTACACTCCAAAAGGTACTAATGACACTCCAATCTCTTTTCCAAATGATTAAAGTGACTATTCTATCCTTCTAATATGTTTGTTGATTTTCGTGTATTGTTTCCTTTTTATTGTTTTGATGCTTCATGTCTTATTTTGACTTCTCTCCTTTTTTTAATTAGATTTTTGTATATGTTGAATTGTTGGTTTGCAACCTTGCATTCATCTTTTATACTCCATAATCATTATATTTGAACCTTCTCGTTTTGACTTGGCACGGATTTTAATGTAAAATAAAAAACTTTCCAATTTTGCCCTCTACTCCACCTTAGCTCCTAGCGACCTGCCCTCCTAATCCTATTACCCACACAATTCNCCCCCCCGTCCCTTTCTTCGTCAGAGCAGATCCGCGGCCGGAGTTGAACGGTGGATCCGTTTCTAATTCTGGAACCTTATTTTTTTACAAGTGTGAAAAGGAGATCAACAATCAATTAACCAATTAATTACTGCGATGTTCGACCATACCCAAAACTCTAGGAATTGAAAACGCATCTACTGTACTTTGCGAACAAAGCGGAAGAAATTAAAAACTGACCTAGAAGCTTTGTCGCAAATCGGAAAGCTCTACGGTAGATCTAAAAGCTCCACTGCGCTGCTAAGATTTGAAAGACTTTTCTGATCTAAGAATTTCATCCCTCCACCCTTCACCCCACCTTGGTGGGTTATCGGACGAAGAAAAGAAGAAGCCAAAGAAAGAGACGGGGGGGGCAGGAGTAAGACGTAGAAAAAAAAGAGGAAGAAGAAGAAAGAAGAAAGAAGAAGGAGAGATGGGGGTACAGATGTACGGAATAAGATATTGAGAATTGGGGGAGAGAGAAAAAAGTGAGGGTAAAAGAGTAATTTTAGATGTGTTTTCTTTCCATTTTAAGAAACGAGAAGAATCAAATGAGACCACCTGAAAAGAAGTAAGAAGAAAGATATGGTACGTAGTGAGTATGAAATTAGATTTTTAAATTTTTATTTTCAGAAAAAAAAAACAAGTTGAATGAGGAAGATTAGAGGATTTAAAAACGTATGAATGAATACTACCAAAACCTAAAATAAAAATCTAAAAATGATAAAGAGACTTAAAGATCCGTAGATTTGAAGTTTGAAATAAAAATCTTACATCCAATCCATAGAAATGAAACAACGTGTATCATCTCCGGCTCGACGGCGCGGCAGCGCGGTGATATAGAAAGAGGCAGGAAGAGGGTGAGAAGGAGAGGGACGGCGGAAGGGATATGAGAAGCATATAAGTTAGGGTAGAAAATATAATTATATATTTGTATTTCCATATATACTTATATGCAAATGTATTTATATAAAAATAAAAACAGCATATATATATATAATTATATATATATATATATGTATGTATGTATATATATATATATATACTAGACAATTACATGAATACACAGAATCTCTGGTGATGCATCAGCAAACAAAATTGCAAATACAATATGATTCCAGCAAATATGCAGATTCGCAGATTCCCCGGTATGAATGAAGCGTTTTTTCTGATTCCAGATTTTTTTTTATGGTTTTTGTTTACAATTTTTCGTGATTGAATTTGTTTATAATTCTATTTGTTCAACACCTCACAAAAAAGGAAGTTGAAATAATTTAGGGTATGATACATGGTTTGGGGGGGTATATAGAGCTTTTAAAATTCATAAGAAATGTTTCTGTAGCATTGAAGTGGTTGATAAGCAATGCAATAATGTCTAGAATAAAGGTCAAGAATTTCTCAAACGTATCATTTGAATGAATAATAAGTCCATAAGGCTAATGGTAATAATTTCACACAAGATGTATATTGATTACAATTAGAAGTAAATAAAAGACACATAGAACAACATAATGGGGCCAATTTTGCTGTTTACCACTGTTGATTTAAAACTAAGTGTACACTACTTTTGTTTATTTTACCTTTGTCATTACAAGAGTGCTCCAGCTAATTGCTTCTCTTTTCAAGATAATAAAACACATAGGACAACATGATGTCCACATATGAGATTAAAAAGAAACGTAAAACAATCACCATATCAACATGTGTGGTAGCTTGCAGACAACTCTATTTTGTTTTCATCTAAAAAAACAATAAATAGATCAAGTCTTATCCAGTATCCCCACACAACTACCCTAAAAGGGTTAAAGAAATTCAATTATAGTATCTATCCAGTAAGCCAAAAACATGAGTTACAAAAGTGGGCGTAAAAGGAAGATTGGTAACTACCTCCGAAAGATGCAATATGGCCAGGGAGCTACAACAATGCATGGCAGTGACGGTTGAAATGAGCTGCAGGCTGCAGCGCAAACCTCGATTCCAAACCGTTTTTATTCATGTAGGCCTCAACCGCTTTAATGCAAAGGTTCTATGGTGCAGCTGCGTGTGCCATCTTCTGTACCTTCATTACACTCATAGCATTGAATGGAGGGTAGGATATCATTCAAACAAAACACCTCAGCATCTTGCCAAAATGATATTTCTAACACAACTACACAAGAATTAATTTTTTAAAAATGTAATACAAGAATAAGCTTCAGCTAAAAAGTACTCCCTCCGTCCCGCTATATTCGTCCACTTTTGACTTTTGGAACTGTTCATCTAAGCACTTTGACTCATCAAATTCTCTCAATGTGTAAGCCTAAATATAGCCATGCGTGATCTTGTTTGATTTGTCTTAACATATAGATTATTAATATATAATTTTTATAATTTTTTAATATACAAATTACAAGATAAAATGAATTAAAGAAGTGTATTGGATAGTGTGCAAAAATGAAAGTGGACAAATATAGTGGGACGGAGGAAGTAATTGTTAGACTTGATGATAGGTTTTAGGTTAAAAAATTGAGTTTGTTTATTTATTTTAGTTGGTCAATTTTTTTTGTTTGTTTTGGTTTTTTTGTAGTATGGAAATCATGTTTGCCCACACATTTACTTTATGGTATGTGCAGTGTGAGGATGCGTTGAGGTGGTGAACAGAGTTAGAGGTGCTGGTGGCAGCAATGGCTGGGAATAGGTAGTGGCAATCATAAACTATGTTAGCATGGTTAGAGGTGATGGTTGGCGTGGGGTCCACATTGTCACTCGCGAAGACTGTCAAGAACGGTGGTGGGTGACAGCGGCTGTGATCAGAGATGGATTGCAACAGCCTCTGATGCTGATGGTGGTGTTCACTGGCAGTGATGATGTTTAATGGCAATAAGTCCTTGGTGGTGTTTGCTAGTGGGAAGCTTAGCAATTTTGCTTGGACAAATTTATATGCAACAGCAACCTGAGCTTCACCATTATTCACCCTCTCTCTACATTTGCAGACTTGGTGCAATAACACTCATTGTCTTGGCATGTCCAATCTAAGAAAACAGTAGAGGCTCGAACATTTACGAGTTCTTGTAGCATACTCACTGCATGAAACAAAATCTCAAACAAATTAGCTGGTTCGTAAGTACAGACAAGTCCATAAGAAGGCCAACTATTTTGTAGCAACTTCCAAAAAGCTACAAGTGCATTTTCCAAAACCACAACCTTCAATAATATAGCCAAAATCATCCAACAGCCAAAACATGTGCTTGTTTGTCTTAACAACCCAATGTGTCTGTGTCTTTGAAAGCATCTGCTGAGCACGAAAAGAACAAATAGTGTAATACATGAATTGAGAATGTTTTGAACCACTGATATATAAGAAACATAATTCAAACAAAAAAAACTACTATGGATGAAACTTTCCTCAATCAAAATTCTCTTCCTAGGATTCAACTTCAAACACATTTTCATCAAGTTCTTTTCATGTAGCAAAGATCAAAATATATGTAATCATTTTCTTATAATAAGGGACTAAATCAAATCACAAGTGACAAATATGAATGAAAGAATTATTAATATCTTTATCAATTAAATTTCTCTACGTACAAACTATCTATAAATACAAGTTAATGATTCCTCCCATAAGAATATAATTAATCTAATTTATATACAATTGCAGTTATTCTAACAATCACTATATGTTGAAAGACAATGGTAATGAACACTCCAATCACATACATACCCTTATTGTAAAAAGTAATACTCCCTCCGTCCCCCTAAGATGTTCTCATTTTGACTTTTGGTGGTTTTTAAGGAGAGTTGAAAAAAGGTGAAAGTTTACCATAATACCCTTAATGAAAAATGGGTGTAGTGTATTAAATGAGGTGGGTGAGGTGTAATAAATAAAGTAAGTGGGTGTAGTTGTGGTATTTTAATTGTTAAAAAATGAAATGAGAAGATCTATTGTGGACAAAGAAAAAGGGCTATTGGGAAGATCTATGGGGGACGGAGGGAGTAATAGATTTAAAACTGTGATTTACCAAATGTTAAAACCCATGCAAGTTAACACTTCCTCCAACATTAGCTACTCATCATTCCCTCGATTTGACTACACCTCAGAGTAATACAGAATTAGCAAATAAGCTCAAGAAGTATTACATTTAGGTGCTTTATTAAAATTGCTAACCTCGTCAAGTTGACCATCATTATTTGGAGTGGATGGTTGTTCTCCATGAAATGATTTCCCTATCTCTATTGTATTTAACATACTTTAAATATCCATAGGTCTCCTGAGGTCATGATTCTCTTCATCCTTATTATGGAGCCTTGCCTCCAAATCTTTGATGAATGGTTCTTTGGTGGATACTGAGGACAGAGATGCAGTACTAACTTGATCAGATATAGACGCTGGTTGATGAATCCTACAGTTCTTTATGTAGGATTCATACTTCAATTCAGAAAAAGAGTGCATGCAGATAAGTAACAAAATTATCCTTAATAACACAAAGACATGCATAAACAGATCTAGAAGTTAAAGAAGGGTCATTTCACATGGAGTTTATAAGTTGATCTTGTATGTTTATATGCTTCATACTTTCAATTCATTTAGACAAGAATTCATGGTATTTTTTTGTACTTTAATCATATCCCTTAACTATAAGTAAGGAGTCTAAAATAATTTTTCACTCATCATCCAAAAAACATTAGATTTATTAGACTTGCACGAAGATTGTAGCGGCCTTGAACTCGATTTCCCATAGCTTGTCTTTGGTTTCTAAGATTGAGCCAACCAACTCAGGGTAATTGGAGTCAACCAAAACTAAGTTTCTCTCCTACTTTTTCCCCAAGCAGCATCTCTCTCAGGTGTGTCTATGCTGTCATAATTTTTATAGATGAAGAAGGAAAGTTTTATTAAAAGAGAATAAGCATTTAATATAGCCAGAAAGATTGCATATTATGTCCACACAAAATAAAAAGTGAGGTTTAATGTGTTTAAGGTAATTATGAACCATTTAACTTGGCAAGCATTCACTAATTCACTAAACGAAAGGTCAAAAGCCAATCTGAAGTTTTACCCAAAATCTGCCCCTAAAAGCAGCAGTCCCAAAAAGCAATTTCAAACCCAATCCTTGAAATTTCCCTAAAAGTAGGCAGCCTCATAGTCAATCGCCAAACAAAGAAACAAATTCCCTACGTAGAAGGGATCCCAAAATTCTAAAGTAATAGTCAAATGTAGAATTGAACCGTAAATAAGCAAGCCGTGAGGTGAGTGAGCTCATAAAATATTTCATCAAGGGGAAAAAAGCATAGTACAGAATAGTGCTAATCACTGAAACGAACCAAAACAAAACACATTTTGTTATATAATGGGTGTCAAGTAACTAATATTTCTGGTTCAATAGTCTTTTATGTTGAATGAATATGTTATTTCATTGCATTTCGTAATAATATTTATTATATTCTGAGTGAACAACAACAACAACAACAACCCAGTTAAATCCCACAAGAGTAGGGTCTGGGGAGGGTGTGTGTACGCAGACCTTGCCCCTACTTGAAAGTAGAGAGGCTGTTTCCAAAGAGACCCCCGGCTCAACGTCGAAAGTTGCATTGCTTGACTAACTGCTGCTTCATTAATTAAAGAAGCGCAGACAGTTTAGAGATCCATTTTGATTTATTCCATCACACCCCAAAGCCAAAAAATGGTGAAATTTTGGCTCCATCGGAGATGATGTAGGTGTTTCATTAATTAACGGTTACTTGATGTAGGTGTTTCTGTTGTTATTTCGTTTTACAAGTAATCTGTTATGCAGGGAGACATAAAATTCCGATGAGACGTGATTTGCCTTGTCAAGGAAGTGTTGCTTTGCTTTGGAAAAGATAGTTTTGTTTAAATAAGACACTGCATAGAGAATAAGAGACTGCACCGAGTTTAAGACGTCCAAAAATACTGGGTATTTGGGATATTCTGTAATGTAATTATGCGAATATAGTTATCCAATTATTTGTACATGCATTGGGGCTGAATCTGAAATACAGACCCATAGGCAGATTGACGTATTAAACTCGGCCATTTGGTACGGGATGTGCGGTGACTGAGTTGGACCTATGACCTTAACCTTAATTTGTTGGGGAACGGTTTGCCTAAGTTACGTTAGAGAAGTCTCATAGTATTACGGAACTAAACACTATTAGCAAAAGTCAAAATGAAATCCCAACTGTAACAGTAAATCCTATGCCAAAAACAGTCTCAAGGATTAAAGTTCAACGCGGCAACCACAACTGACCAGACCTCTAAACCAGATTTTAGATCACGACAAAGATTAAACCTTTAACCACCAGTATTTGTTACTCTTTTTTTGCCTACTTCAATATGTATTATTATTTCTCTTAACAGACAAACGTTTTATTTCTCTCAACGAATACATGAGCTTTTTGTATGTGAATATTTATTCATCGAACAGCGTGCTATAACTAATCATAAAACCAAAATGAGGATTGATAACCAAAACATAGGTCCTAACCAAGACATGATCAGTGAAAACTGAAACGCAGTTTCTCATTTTAAATCATATCCTCCAAAACACAAACAGAAAACATAAAACCCTGACCGAAAAAGACATGTGAATGACAAAACGAAAAGTCATAAATGAAACCGAAATTTGCCCCAAAAACCACTCTTAGACAGTAGTTTCAAAATCAATCATGCAACTGTTTTCTGATTGCACGTGCACTTAGAAAAAGAAGCTGGTAAGTATTTTCCTGTAGCATACATGAAACGTTTCTCAGCAAAATGCACCCATTTCTGGTACTTCATCACTGAGGAAGAGGGCATAAAATATAAAATCTTCAAAATAGGGACGGTTCACCTAAAGAGACCACACATACCTGTTGGGCGAATTGAGTGTGGAGGCTCGACAAAGAAGGACAGCCGGCCCTAGTCTTGGTTCGACCCATATGGCAGTAAATTAGGTTTTTAATTTAGCCGGCCCTAATTCTCTATGTGGGCTTGGGCCTAACTTGGGGATTAAGTTTTCAACCCTAGTTTAGTCTTCATAAATAAGGATCTCTGTACTTGTAATTCTGTGAGCACTTGAATAATAAAAACCCTAGTTGCAAAGTGGATTAGGTCAGCCGACCGAACCACTATTAATCTTGTGTTCCGTTTTTCTCCGTTTTGATTTCTGGTTTGTGTGTGTTCTTGTTTGGTTGTGGTTTGCTATTCAGTATTCATAGATACCCCAACAA